ATTATTACAGGTGAATTTATATTATCCTGCATCGAATCCATATACTTCCAAACATATGTGTGTGTGTGTGTGTGTGTGTGTGTGTGTGTGTGTGTGTGTGTGTGTGTGTGTGTGTGTGTCAATGTACGTATATGTAATAAGTGGCAAGGATACCTGGTGTTATACGGGCTAAGTGCTTTTCCTTTGATTTAGTACGCTCAGATGTAGTTTCTTTGAGAGATCTGCGAATGCCGTAAACTGGTATTAGCAAAGTAGTCTTCATTAAAACAGGTTCATAATACAGCATATTATAATAGTATAAGGGATAATCGTTTTTAGATTTTCAAAATACACTATTGCAATAGATAAATATTGCTTACTTCCCGTAATACATTCATTCTGGGATCTAAATGCAAGGTTAATTACCATTTTCGGGGCAGAAGATGACTTTATTTAGATAACTAAGCAAGTGCATTATAAAATAGTAAAAATCACAAAACCCAAACTGGAAATGAATAAAGAGCATTGTTTGATTTCTAAAATTGACTATGCAAATTAGTCATCTTTATAAATCAAGAACAGCTAAGTTGAGTAAGATACAAGACATATACTGTGAGATATAAATGCTAAAACTGCATTTATTTGATGCCATTGTTTCATATAACATTTTCATGCATGCACACACAGAGTGAGAGATAGCTAATTTTTTTCTCTCTCTCTCTCTCATATATATATATATATATATATATATATATATATATATAAACATATATACACACACACAGACATACATATATATATATATATATATATATATATATATATATATATATATATATATATATATATATATATATATATGTAACAGGAAAATTGTCCAAATCGTGTAACGCCACAAAATGCTTAATACCTAAAAACCACTAAATTCATTGAGTTTCTTTTTTTCAGGTTTTCACACAAGACGTTTAGCCATCTTGGCACCATTTGTCGTAAGAATCACTGAAAACCATTTTGAATTATTTAGCTATAAAAAGAACAGGTTAAAATCATTTCTTTCAGTCCCAATATGTATTCCAAACTGAGCAATGGTGAGAGGAAAATATCATTCAGGCCTTCAGTAATGGTACCAACATTCATGCGCATCAGACCGAACATTATCACACAAATTGTGTGATAATGTTCAGTCTGAGGAGTTAGAACCGAAATAACGGTTCTAATGAAATAAAATATTACCATGACCTCTTTAGAACTATCCATACGGATTTCCAAATAATATCATTATATATATATATATATATATATATATGTGTGTGTGTGTGTGTGTGTGTGTGTGTGTGTGTGTGTGTGAGAGAGAGAGAGAGAGAGAGAGAGAGAGTGTGGGTATGTATGTTTATACCTAGTGTAACACCAAAATTGTACAAATCCTAGAAAAGATATCTTACTAAATTTTCCGAGGTTTTTATAACTCTATTGGACTCTACTTTGAACAATAAGAATGTATTTAGCGCCAACTTAATATGGTGATCCCTTGCTGTTGTGACCTCCTGAACCAGTTTTCCACCATACGGCTCACTCTCTTTTTTAATTTATTCGCCATTCTATTGATGATTCTTGAATGGATTATGAAGATGGAAGCCAGAATTTGAAAGTTAGTATCATTACTGAAGGCCTAACTGATTTTTTCTCTAACCATTGCTCAGTTGGGAATACATAATGGGGCTGACACAAAATTATTTTAACCTGTTCTCTTTCTAGCTGAATAACTCGAACGGTTTTTCAGTAATTCTTACGACAAATTGTGTGAAGATGGCTATACGTCTTATCTGAAAACCTGGAAAAATAAACTCAATTAGTTTAGTGATTTTTTAGATATTATTTTGTGGGGTGGACAATTATCCCATTCTGTTACACGATTTGGACAATTTAGCCGTTACATCCGGTAAAGATAGATAGATAGATAGATAGATAGATAGATAGATAGATAGATAGATAATTTCAAAATTGATACATTTATTGGAGAAGATTGCTCACTATAGGAGATAGACCGTTTATCGATTCAGAGAGTGTGAAATCAACACTGTCGTATGACTAAGCTTCACGCCGTAATCGATCTTCAGACCATATATATGCGCGTGTTGTTTAAACTTTGCTATATTTATAGGGGAAGAATGCTCAATATCGGAAATAGAACGTTTGTACAGAGTGCGATGGGTAAATTGTCGCCATTTTATATTTTTAATTTCGCGCATGCGCATTGTGTGTTTTTGATTTGTCGAATGCATAGTATAGTAGGGTCAGTTGGGCACCGTCTGTGAGAAAAAGAGCGCCATGACGCAATTCACTTCGCCAGAAACTCGCAAACGGCATTCTGTACTTCTTGCCATTCGCGCCGGAAACTCCAATATGAACATTTTAGAGTGTTTGGGTGTCAATGTGAGGAGAGTACAGCGGATTTGGAAAGAGTTGGATGATATTTCCAGTCAACATCATTGTGTTTGTATTGATCACTAGGGAGGGAGATGTTATGCCTTTATTCCTCTTCCCACACGGTCTCAGACTGAACACGGAGTGCTTTGAAGAGTAAGTGCTCCCGTCGGTCAAGAGAGTGGCTGCTGGAAGTTCTATCTAGCAATAGGACTCCGTCAGACAATCTATGCGATCACATCACACCCTAACATCTGGCCACCTAACTCCCCAGACTGCAACCTCCTTGATTATTACGTGCGATGCACAGTTGAGCGAGAGACCAACAAAACTTCTTGCAACACCAAAGATGAACTGAAGGAGACCGTCCAGAAGAGTTGAAGGAGATGCCGAAGTTGTCGGGGGGGGCTGAAGCCAATTGCGATTTTATTGAACACATTTAGTCTTTAATATTTCAAGATATTTTTGTGTAACTTTAGTAAATATATCTGTTAAAATGTCAGTGTTATTTTTATTTTGGCATAATTTAGACAATTTATCCATTGCACCCTATATTGTCAGCATCAGAATCAACACAGCTTCAGTTTCATAAGTATGTTTGAAGATCGCTTCAGGCGTGAAATTGGCAATCATATCTATGCACGCACTATGCACAAAAACACACACACATATATATATGTGTCTGTGTGTGTGTGTGTGTTAAATAAGGAACAAATAGCAAATGTATATCAATCTGTTATGCTTAACCGTTATTAAAGATTCGTCAGAAATTGAAAGAAACAGACTAAAAGACATTAACTCTGGCATTTTTAATTTTGTTTGGGTGAGTTCTCATTGGTCAGTCATGTATCACGTGCATTAAAACCGTAGATAATTCTATATATATGTAAATTTGTAAAGATTCTTGTATGTCTAAGCGGGTATCAGATGGTAACGTTTAATCGTAATTGTGTATGTGTGTCTGTCTAGTGGGAGTTTTAAAGTCTTCTCCTTTGTGCAGTGAGCCAACGCAGTGGAGTGGCACTTCATTCTAATCTGGGGCTTCTTTGTATTAGATAGATACAAGTTAGATACCTTAAGAATGGATTTAAAGAGAGTTGGCGATGTAATGTAATTCAATGTAATGTCTTAGGCGTGTGTTTATAATTGGTAATAATGTTATTATTAAGTTTTCAAAGTATTTTTCCTTAGGAATTATGTTCTTTTTTAATTATGGTGGCATTAATGAAATGACATTAAGAAAGTAATGTTCAGCATCGTTTCTATGCAATATGAAAGAGTTAGATCGTTTGTCTAAACTCAAATCTCTCTTGTGTTCATAGATGTGGGGTTTTAGATCACGTAATGTCTCCTCGACATAAACTCAACACCGATTCAAATGTCGGCATTTATGAAATAAATTGTTTTTCTCAATCACTGACGAAGCTTTAATAAAAATGAAACATGTTAGATTGTGTTGTGGAGTGATTTCACAGTGGAGGCTTGTATTTGTACTAAATCGGTCCTAAAATAGGTTCGACGTACAAAACTTTAGGAACTTAATAGAATAGGTATGACGCAGAGTAAACTAGTTGCGGTCGCTGATACTTTAGGATTTGACTAACTGTCGCCCGACATCGACTGACTGACCGACTCACTGAGCGACTGACTCGTTCCTCTTACAACTCCTACTTATTATAGGTGGAAGAGTCTATTAACTATAGAATAGGTGTGTTCCACTATAACAGATTGATATACGTTTCCTATCTGTACTTTATTTTATCACCCTGTCGCATTCCGGTTCATATTTTATCTGCATTTGATCTTTAACTCATATATTAATTTCGCTGATCAGTATATACACATAAAGGATGCTTTTCAAATGCGCAAATTCCATCAGCTGTTATTTTTCTCAAATAGGCTTCATAGCCAAAAGAAAGTTTAAAAATCAAAAATCCCATGTACTCGTTAAGTCTCTTAACTGATTTTCACAAGAAAAATATCTTCTGTAGCTTTTTCATCCTCATGTTTATAATTAAAGCAAAAGCATGCATTGTCGCAATCTGAACTAAAACTAAATTACTCATAATCATGGTTAGGCTTCATCAGCAATGGTTTGGAAAGTCTTCACATATTTAATACCGAATCCATCCTTTAAACCATGGATTCAGAAAGCAAAGTTGGTTGATATAGAAAGATTGCAGTAAAGTACCGAAGTCGTAGAGATATGGTCGGTAAATCTAGTGGTTCATAGTTATTTAGCCAACAAAATAAGCTGCTTCATTTTTCTGAATTCATACATAACCCTGTGGTTGCAATTCGAATCTCATTGACTGCCCCTATTACACTCACCTTAAGCCAAAACTGACCTAGGTTTAGTAAGTAACTAGTCAACATCCTGCTTTCTAATTTATTTTTAGAAAGTATAATTAATCATTGTCGGACGTTTTAATAGCATTTTGCCTCACTTGTCGCGCCAGACTGATTGGGTTTAGGTGCAGACATCTAGCCAGAAATTAATTTTTTTTTTAGTTTAATATTAATTATCAAGTTTTCCGGTGCACTTTTCATAGTTTTTTTTTTTTTTTTTTTTTTTAGTTTTACAAAGTAACAAATAAATGATATCTATCTATCTATCTATCTATCTATCTATCTATCTATCTATCTCCGTTCATATCTATCGATCTATCATTATTTATATCTATATATCTATCAATGTTCATACCTAGCTATAACTATATTTATCTATGTTCATATATATATATATATATATATATATATATATATATATATATTGAACAATAAAAATATTAAAAATTAAAATCTTCAGACACACTGAGTTGTAGATTACTATTCTTTCGTGTTTTTTTTTTAGTATTATTATTTCATTTAGATCCCTCGACTAGTTTCGACCAAAATGGCCATCATCAGGAGAAGAAATATTTCTTCTTGATATATATATATATATATATATATATATATATATATATATATATATATATATACGTGTGTGTGTGTGTGCAGAGCGTGCGTGTGTTTCATATCTGTCTATCATTGTTCATATATATCTATCGATCTATGTTCATATCTATCTATCTCTGGCCATATCTATCTATCTGTCTATCTATCTCTGTTCATAGCTATCTATCTTTCACCGTTTATATCTATGTATCTATCTATATTTCACTGTTTATATCTATCTATCACTGTTCATACCTAGCTATCACTGTTTACATGTATAATATCACTGTTCATATCTATCTATCTATGCTCATATCTATTTATTTATTACTCTTTCTATCTATCACTGTTCTTATCTATTTATCTTTGTCGCTACATATTTCCCTATCTATTTATCTGTCTATCTTTGTTCATATCTATCTATCTATATATATATATCGACTCTGTTGAAGCAAACAGTCGACTTATGAAATAATCTTACAACCCCTTCTAAATAAATGCTACATTGATGCACTTGTAAAATCTTCTATACCTTACCTTTTAAATATCTTGCTTACTCGTTATATATGATCGTGTGTGTACGATCGTTTGTGTACGATCGTTTGTGTACGATCGTGTGTGTTTCTATGAATATAACTGTGTATTAATGATACTGATTTAATAAATGTTGATTGATTATTCTGAGTAGAATCACTCAAGCAGAACCACCACGTGTGAGTGTGTGCTTGTATGTGTATGTTGTTCTATGTGCCTTGTCCCTTCAGTATGTAGGACATCATGGCTCTCCATATTTTTTTTGTCTTTTCTCCTAACCCCTGTTCTGCCGATCATTTACACAACCTCATTTGGGTAGGTTATTCACTGTTTTCATTGGGTAGGTTACTCACTGCTTTCTTCTGTCACTCTTGTCCTGTGAGTGTCAAGTTTGCTAATCCTTTTTTCCCCAATAGGGGCTCTAGAAATTTCAACTGTCTCTTTCTGATTCCACGTAAGTGTCCTTTTTGTTTCCATTTTACTTAAAATTTCTTCGTTGCTCACATGTTCAGTTCATGATATTCTCATCATCCTTCTGTAGAAGCATGTTTCTGTTTCCTTAAGTCTTTTCTTCATTTGTCATGAGATTCACTGTCATATAGGAGGACTGGCAATACGTAACAGTTCAGTATTCTTTTGTTTCGACTGAAATTTCCCTGATTATTAAGACTTTGCTTAAGTTTTGGAAGGAAACTTTCGCCATACCAATGCGTCTTCGAATTTCGGTAACGGATTTTCTGTCTTCTTTTGAAATACTTGCTAAATTTTTCTACTTTTTTGATCCTGGTGTCTCCAATTTGTAATTCCCATCTTGTACCGTTACTCTTGCTGACAGCTATACATTCTGCCTTCTTACAATTGACCGTTAGTCCTTTATTCTCGCTTTCCTTTACTATCTTCTATAGGAGTTCAACTCGTTTCCTTTCGGTGCAAATCTAATGTTGTTAAGATTATGGACGTCAATAATGAATCTTGGTAAGAAAAATTTTTAAAAACTTTCATTTCACTCCATAATCACTGGGCCTACGCATAGCATACGACGATTCTTGTAGATGTTCCTCGGCTTTGACCTGGAAAGATGAAGCGACCCTCTTTCTCACAATCAAGAATGAAATGAAGAAGAGGTTCACTCGATTTCGCCAAAAGAAGGAGATCTTCTCATTAGATATAAGAATAATCAATCTTCTTTATTGAATCGATATCTTAAGTATCATAAAAAAATTCGTCATATATTTGTTAGTCTTATTTGTGAATAATAATAGTAATAATAATAATAATAATAATAATAATAATAATAATAATAATGGCTACTCGTTTACGAGTATGCCTGTCGGCTAAGGAGGTTAACCATCCTTGTTGTAGATGCTCGCTCAAGCGATTTTGTGTTTGTTCAACATCCGCAGAGTATACCTGTGGATTAAATTGCAGCTTTTTTGAGCGAGCCTTAATTACAGTATTTGAGAGAGAGAGAGAGAGAGAGAGAGAGAGAGAGAGAATAGTATCTGGCGTGATCAACAGTTTGAACGAAGCCAGTACACTAAAATCCTCAGTCACGATGACTTGGGTCTTCGTGCTTGCAGAATCATCAACGAACAGTTCCATCTACCTAACTTCGCTGACAAAGCTTGTGTGAATCTGTGGCTTGGTTTTTCAGGTACGCTAGAATCGTATGATGGAATTGCTTCTCCAGGTCAATAACATCAGGAAGTCACCTTTTGACAAATCGATTATGCTAAGATTCAAACCGGTCTCATGATCGGAAAGTGAAAGTTCTAATCACTAGGTCATGTGATCACAATCTTATGTACTAATAGCAATGCCCTATCACGCAGTCGAACATATTAATTATATTACATACCGTTAACGTGAGAAAATAGACTAGCGATCATTTGAAGATGGTTGTCTTTATTCTGAATTTAAAATTACCATTTTTTCTAAAATTCGTATAACGTACGTATTTTTACGGTTTGATTATTTAAAAAGCCAAAAAGACGATCATGTCTCTTCACGATGAAAAAATAACTTCTTCTGTTGCTATTTGTCGTGTTCCTTCAAGAGGTTGGCGATCATTGTTCTCCACAATGAAAAAAAGGAACCTTTTCTTCTTCTGCCATGTGCCGTGTCCGTTCAGGACGTTAGCGATCATGTCTCCCGAAAATGAAAAAAATACCTCTTCTTCTTCTTCTTCTTCTTCTTCTTCTTCTATGAACCGTGTCCCTTCAGGACGTTGGTGATCATGCATGACTTGTGTAAACCATTAGATCAGCTCTGGTGTAAACAATCATTTACGAAGCCGTCTCCAAATGTAATGCCACTCGTTTTATTATGTTTTTCAACGACATCAGATGCGGATGTTTGTTGCATATCAGGAAACGTTGGACCTTTCCGCCAATGAAACATGACGTTTACTTTTTAACCTTGTTACAAATAACAGCTGAGAAGCAGCCTGACAAAATGATGTCTGACATGAGAAGCGCAAAAGAACAGAAGTGTATCATTGAATCCCTCCATGCGGAAAAATACACCAATTGATATTTATCGACGACTGCTGGACGTTAACCGAGGCCAAAAAGTTAGGCGATGGGTAATGTGTTTCAGCGATCGCTACGTGTAGAGGAAAAAGTGAGTTAGTCCCACCGGTGCAGAATTTTACGAACGCGGCAGGGAGAGTTCGTCGCTGGCTAAAATCTATAGCCAATGATGGTGACTATGTTGGAAATAATAGTGTTTTGTCGCTGAAAAGTTTGTTTATCCAGCGTAGTTATTTTTCTCTATGTCTTTATCATATCAACCCTCTTAATGCTAAAATCTGTTTTTTTTTTATACTTTAGGTAAAAGTTAGCGCTAGTCAGCCGCTATAATTGAGTCAAAAGGTAGACATAGGCAGCGTTTATACTTGTATCCATATGTAAACATAAGCAGTTCTTATATTTTGCTTTTAATCAATTCACCCCAAGCAAGGCGATAATACCAACTATCAACTGAATGTGAAAGAGAATGAGAAGAGTTGAGAAGAAACCGGAAGTCTAATCCTAAACTGGAAATAAGTGATAAAAAGACAGGGGAGGAGTTTGAACCGGACGACAGGTGAACCTATCTACTCCTTAGTCTACAGGTAGATATGGATAGTGTTTATACCTTAGCCGATAAGTAAACGGAGAGCGTGTTTATACTTGAAACCATAGATGTTTATACTTGGGTCTGTAAGTAAACATAGGTCATCCCTACCCTAGCTTGCAAAAGCATCCACACTGTACATTTGTTCATGTTATAGTTTGGTAGCAATATCGCTGAGTGTCGAAAGGGCAGTTTATTTATCTTTTTGTTGGGGGTAGTGATCTAAGGTCGCCCATGTGACATTAGAGTCATATCTATATACTTGGGAAATGTGTAGAAGTCCTTACTTTCGAAGCGTTTCTCATAACAATCTGGCAAAGCTAAACATCCTAGGTTCGATCCTCTGTGTGCACCTCAGCACTATGGCGTTGTACCTGCCCAAGCTAAGCGTTTTGAGCATCAGAGCTGTCTAGTAGTAGTAAGTTAGACTTGTAGACTATTGATAATGTAGTGATTTGGCCGTCGTTTAATTACTCACCTTTATGACCTTGAACCTGTCTAAACTCAGTTGATAAGCTAAGTAAAATAATTTATACGCTTGCCATAGAACCATGTTTAAGTAGCTAGACTCGCAAACGATTGCTTCTGGAGAGATTTGATCCACACGGTGTACATTATTTGATCCACACGGTGTACATTGTTGTACCAGAGCTTAGTATCAATTTCAAATACCAATCTGGACGCGTGCTATAGTGAGGTAGATAAGAAGCTAGACTCGAATTGATGTAGCAAGTTCGATCTTCAGCCCCGTGGCCCAATTCCAGACACATCTGAGCTTAGTAACTATCTACCTAAGTTACCTGTTTAATGTCTAGAATTTCAACTATTTTGCTTATTGTGCGTTTTGGGGCTTTGCAAGTTTCCACGAACAAAGCCAAAAAGCTCCAATTCCCTCAAGTATCTCCTTTATTCGTGTGTTTTTTTTTAATTACTCTAACTCATTGCCATTTTTTGAATGGGATAATTTCTTTGCTACATAGAACAAAATAAATATTTTGATCAACCTGCCGAGCTCCATTCTTAATTGGCCAATACGGTTGAGTGGTTAAGACGTTTATCAGATCAGATGAGATCCCTTAACGCTGTTAATCATTAGAATGACTTCAAAGGCTTGCCAAAAGCGTTGGCAATTTTTCATTAACCGTGCTTAGAGCTTTATTTACGGCTGAAGTCTTTTTAGAATTCTTCCAGTTTGTTTTCCTCCATTCTTCCTTGCATTCACCTGATATCAATACTTGGTTAAAGATCTTAACCGATTATTAATCTATCTATAGATATAAAAAGGAATAGGAAACCGTGTACTTGTTCAGCAACCCAGAAGTAAGAAAGAACGATTGGTACAAAAATTGTCCATTTGAAACATGCGTTTTAAAAGGAAATAAAGGGAGTAAGTTTTTAAATAGGAAATTTATCTTTTTTTAACTTTCTGCTCCAGATATTTATAATTTATGGATAGTACAGTCGAGTTCCACGTGTTGATGTTGATTACAATGGAGCCTTCTGACCTTGAAGAATTACATCATTTTTTGTGCAGGGTAGCCAAAATTTCTTTGATGTTACTGAAAATGAGAACTATTTTCTCGACACCAAATGACCACTTTAGAGTTGTCGATGATCCAAATGCACAAAATAAATCACCGTTAAATATTTATTTTAACAATCATATTTTTTCCCTTTATCTTACACTTCTTACATTGAGACGATCGTCCGTCATTATCTCTCTCTCTCACTCTCTCTCTCTCTCCCTCTCTCTTATGATTCATTGGAATTCTCTTTTCTAGCTGGTCTATCTTTTTCTTTCTTTACAATAGCTTTTTTTTATCTCTCTTTGTTACTGTAACCTCTCTCTTCAGGCCTCTCTCTATTTCACTCTTTTTCCCTATTTTTATTTACTTCTCCTTTATATGCTTGTTTTTATTTTCTCTCACACTCTTTCTTTCTTTCTTTCTTTCTTTCTTTCTTTCTTTCTTTCTCCCTCTCCTTCTCTGTCTCTACATGTATCTCTTTCTCTCTGAGCTTCTATCTCGCTCTCCTTCTGTCACTTACTCCCTTTCTTTCTCCCTTTTTTTCTTTCTTTTTCAATTTCCTCTTGTTTTTTCTTCCTCTTTTGCTAGTCTTTTATATCTTTCTCAATTTGACCTGCTTCCCAAAATCTGACTAAATGACTATTTATATGGGATATTTGTTCAGGTCAATAACTTTTCAGCATCCCCTATAACAGCTTCGTTTTTATAGCATAAACACGCATATATGTAAAAAAAAAAAAAAAAAGAAAGAAAGAAAGAAATGCGTATCTGACGTAAATACTAAATATCTTTCCAATATAAATAAGCAGGTCGACCTGTAAAAAGTTTATTAGTAAATACACAACCATTTTCTCTTTCATAGATGATCCCACATAAGAAATTATCTTAAAAAAAAAAACACTCAAAACAAAAAATACGAAATAATAATAATAATGTAAAAATTGATAGATAAACCAAAGACTTTGCTTTTCGTTTCGTAGCCGGGTAACAAAAAAAATCAGATTTGCCGACTGAATTCATTCATCTGCGTCAATGTTTTTTACGTTAACCTCGTTTCTTTTTAAAATAAACAGTCTCTCGATATAATAGGCCAAATGTATTTGTAAGTATTTTTTTTTTTTTTTTTTTTTTTTTTGTAATGTCTATAAGGTCCTGCTTATGATAATGGTGGAATCTTCCGATGTTGTTTAAGAATTCAAAAAGGTGTAAAACCTGGAGGAGCAAAACAATAATAAGTGGGAAATAGATTTAAAGAGAAACATATTGCTATGAATAATCAAGAGTGGTTTCCCCTTGTTTTGCTACTCTCGTCATTGAGATAGCTATTTCTGTTTATTGGGACTATAAAAGGACACTAAACGCGAACCTTGTATTCTCGGTTGAATAAAGCTTTCTTAAAGCCTACACCTACGTAATTTTGTCATTATACACCTGAAAACATGTTATTGTTGTTGTTGATTATGATGATGATGATGATGATGATGATGATGATGATGATGATGATGATGATGATGATATATGCCCTCATTTTCGGCGGCTTAGGTAATGTACATGATATTTTAATAAGTAACGCGTTTATAAGCAATTCTACGCAGGTCTGATTATACGCCCGGCGGCAGGGCCTTTGATCGGGAGAGTGGAGGTTTTGAGGAGCGTGAACCCACCTCTCAATTGCTGTTGTTCCCAGGTCCACAATGACCCGGAGTGGTAGCGCCTGTTACGGGCCTTGCTATGGGCAAATAGTGAACACCAAAACAATAAAAAAAAACACTATGAAAGTATAAAAAATACATTTTTATAGTAAAAATACCAACAATACATTTTTACATGCTTGCCAACCATACATAGTTATACTAAAATTACAAACAATGCGCACATACTAATAAATTGCAGCGACTTCTCACAAATCTGTTTAAAATAGTACCAAACAAAAAACATAAAAGAACTTTCATGACATTAATCCATATAACATCCTGCAATTCCTTAAAGAAATCAAACTGTATTCCAAAAAATAACTTCAACAAAACTAAAACATAAACACACATATCACCACCTCTAGTAATTATGTCCACACAGAAATGTACATGATCAAAAGCTGAGTATCATCTACCATGTATTCAACTGTGAAAGCAGAATAACATATATTTTTATTACTTTCAAGCTGCTAAAAAAATTAAATGTCGGCATTAAATGATCCATGAAGGAGATGATATTCCGTTAAATAGACAACTGAATCAATGAATCCAGCAGATTTGAATAAATCTTAAGTCGCTTTACTATTGACGTCATAGTGGATTAAGCAGATAAAAAGAAAAGATTAAAAAAAAAGCAAAAAGATAAATATCAAATTAGACAAAATGTGTTATTAAATACTTTTTTATATTGTATTTAAGAATTCTACCAATTCTATCAGTTTTAATACAATGAAATGATTTTTTTCTTCTTATTCGATCTGAGCATAAAAAATGTAAACAACCATTTAAGCAACTTGAGAAATAATTCTTGCAAAAAATTAAGCACCTTGAATACCGTTCAAAATGCTTAGTTGATCATAAAATCATGTAACATTCTATAATCACCGAGGGACATCATTCATATATATATATATATATATATATATATATATATATATGCATATATATGCTATAGTTCAAAAGTCTAAAAACCACCACCAGATTTAGCATAGGATGAATAGAAGAGTTAAAATTTGAAAAAGCGCTCTTAGAGTCATTGAAAAAAGACTGGAATCAATTATCAAACATACTTTGGGACAATTTTTGCGATGAATGCCAAAAATTTATGCTGCAGTAATCAAGACTAAAGGAGCATATTTTGACGAAAACAAAATTTAATACTTTTTTTTTTTTTTTTTTTTTGTTATAATAAAATTTCTAATAAAAAAATAATGTCTCAATTTTTTAACCATGTACAATATTCTTCTCTTACTTAAAGTATAAAACAACGAATTTTTGAACTAATTTTAAAAAATTACCAGGAGTGGCCTCAGATCTTTGAATTGCAGGATAGTGAGTATATATATATATATATATATATATATATATATATATATATATATATATATATATATATATGTGTGTGTGTGTGTGTGTGTGTGTGTGTGCGTGCGTGTGTGTGTGTGTGTGTGTGTGTGTGTGTGAAAGAGAGAGAAAGAGTAATTTTAAATCAGGCAAAATGGGTTTGTCAGTGATTAGAAACTTTGCATGCTGTACTGAATGAATAAAGCTATTATATGTCCGAAACGTGCTGTAAAATTTGAGCAGATTTTGGGAAGTGGGTGGGGCGGAAAAGTTTAACAGTACTCCCTAATTGGTCTAAGTAAACACAAAGTGAGCTGAATCCTTGGCGTCCGTGTTTTCAATATAAAAGAAATCATGAAAACTCTCTCTGGCATACTGTGTATATTTGGCGGGTGGAGAGGGTTAAATCTCGCTTTGAAGTTAATCAACAAAAATAGCAATACACTAAACATTTTCTAGTAAACTGTTGTAGGTAATTTGTTAAGGCAGGTCTGATGATAGCGGAGACTACAAACGTAGTTCCATGATGGAGCTGGAAAACAAAAGAGAGAGAGAGAGAGAGAGCGAACAACAGTAACATTACACATCACAGTCATTGTAATTGATGTTATTGCCAGTTTTTTTTATTTTTCATTTCTCGTTATTTTTTTTATTTTTGGTCTTGTAATTTAAAGTATAGCATTACTAACCATGACTATGTCATTAGCATCGTTCTAGCAGTTACAGCGTATAACTTTTCAACTTATAGTTGAGAGGTTACATCGTCCAGTGCGCATGCGAAGTGGCTGGTTCAATCTACTCTTTCTTATTTTGGTTACTTTTTTCATAAATAATAATGGCTATTTGTCTTAATTAATAGTGGATATTTTTCATAAATAATAATGGCTATTTTCCATAAATAATAGTGTTTTACATAATTAATAGTGTATATTTTTCATAATTAATAATGGCTAATTTTCATAAATAATAGTCGCTATTTTTCATAAATAGTGGCAATTTTTCATAAATAATGGCTATTTCGTATAAAAAAATAGTGGGTATTTTTCATAAATAATAATGGCTATTTTAATAGCTAATTTTCATAAACAATAGAGGCTATTTTTCATAATTAATAGTAGCTATTTTTCAGAAATAATATTGGCGATTCTTCATAATACATAGTGGCTATTTTTCATAAATAATGGCTATTTCTCCTAAATAATAGTGGTTATTTTTCATAAATAATAGTGGCTTTTTCCAAATATTAATAGTGGCTAACTTGAAGTTAGCATTTGTTTTAAATTTAAGAGTTAAATGAAAAATCATAAAGATAAAAGTAAAGTTCAAATACATATTAGGTATTGGTAAATGTTCCCAGCGGAAAACCGCTCCCCAATTTTATATTCAATCTTTAATTTTCAAAATAAAAAAAAAGAAGATTTTTGGAAGTTTTAACTGGCACGTTTTTCAGTTGTATCGGAGCCGAACATGTTGCTCGAGACAAGCACACCTTCTAGGGAAACTAACCAAAAGTCTTAGAGTCGAGCAATTTACTTTGTTTGAGAATAAGAATATAATCCTCTGTGGAGATCGTAGTTTTTATTCTTGTAAGTAGCGAATATGTAGTTTTGGCAGTTCTATATTGCAAGCTTTCAAATTCTCACCTTATTACTCTACGAGGTAATATCGGAAAGTTTCTGGATTAGGCAGAAAAAATATTCCATGACAAGTAAATATTATATTTCATATATTATTTAAATGTGGCGGCCATCGCTTTGGGAAATAGCCACGTTGCGAACTTATATAGCGATTCCAGCGGAAGTTATGTTCATGAAAGCCGCTAAATAGCGCCTGTTGTTTCTGTTTGAATTTTCTATCCAAATCGTAGCCGTAAATCCAACTTTCGTTGCTCATGATAATTCTAGGTACGAAAGCTCACGAAGATCAAGACACTACCATGACGCATACAATAACAGCGAGTAACTTAGTTTACATGATTGTGCTAATGGATAGAGTAGCAAATACCAGAAAGAGAAAATATACCATAAAAGAGAAAGTATAATTGAGAATAACAAAAAAAATGCTGTGGAGAGCCGTGATCACCTATGGCTTCCTGTTGCGCAAATGGATAGGAAAACAAGTTTCATAATGAGAAAGTGGGACTATAAAAGAAAAAGCATAGAAAAACAAAAAATAAACATCTGTGGGGGAGACATCTGTGGGGGGTGGCTATGATCGGCCAAGACCTGCTATGCAAATGGATAGAGGAACAAATACCACAAAGAGAAAATGGGGGTATAAAAGAAAAAGTGTAGCTTAACAAAAAAAAAAAGGAAGCTATGGAGAGTCATGATCGTCCATGATCTGTTGTGCAAATGGATAGAGGAACAGGTGCCCCAAATGGAAAGTAAAGCCATAAAAAAGAAAGTGGGGCGCATAATGAGGAAAGAGGGCTTAGAAAATTTAACACTCACAGAACATATTGAAGGCAAGAGGGACAGAGAAAAACAGTGAATAAACTAAGGAGCTAGTGTAAAACAGAGATTAGAATAGTTAGCAAAAAAGACAATTCTTATTAAGAGCTACAAAGGAGAGAACGTTGGGAAGAAGAAGC